GTGTTCAGAAGCATCTGTGTGGTTTCTGTTTCCTAACCGATGAGGATCAGATTTTTTTTTAAATGGCATGTTCGCCTGTCTTTCCAATCTTGCAAAATGGCTTAGAAAAATGGACATCATGTCAGGAAGTGAAGTATTATTAAACTTTCTTAGAAACTCATATCAACTCAAAGTAAAATGTATTCAAAATAAAATGTCAGTATTTACTTTTTATACATCCTTACCTCAGCACTAGGTTTTTTTTTGTTTATAATAACACGAAGAAGTGCAAAACTATATTGGTATCTTACATCAGTTCCTTTGATTTTGTGTTCCTAACATTTTTTTAAATTATTTTTCAGGAAAATCAGCGAAGGGAGTGGATCTTTAGAGGCTCTGTGCGACTGGAGCACATTGCCAGACTGTGGGAAGAGAGGAACAAACTAGAGTCCAAGGATGACTCTGACTCTGATTAATTCATAGAAGCAGGTGTATGTAAAATAGATGTAGAAATGATAAATACAAATTCCTAAGAGGGATCCTTTTTGTTTTGTTTTTGTAACATTTCAGCCTAAATGAAATTTATGTTAAAAGACTGAAAAGAGACTACCCAAGCAAACCCTTCCCCTGTTCTTCATGATGACAACTGAATTTAATTTTTCCTGCTTCCTAATTCTGCAAATGTACTATATTAATTAAACTGAAATGCAAAACAGTCCCATAGATTCCAGAGTATGTTTTCAGAGCTGAAACCAGGTACCTGGAACTTTGAAAGCAATTTCTGATGATATGATCATCCAGAGATCTCATCTTTTCATGGCAGCATGAATTTAAAATGTAACGTAAATATTTCCAAAAACAGCTGAATTTGTCCTGTGAGGGAGTGAAAAGCCTTATGGCCCTTCAGAAAGCTGAATGGCAGTGTGCAGCAACGTGTGGAAGCTTTGCATTACTCTGCTTGATGCAGTTAAAAAATCTTTGCAAACATATTTTTGTTTGCTTTTCATTTTTAAACATTATTGTACCTTCATACTGGAGACCAGACATTGCCTACTGTTGTGATGCAAAGGGAGCAAACAAGTTTTTTTTTTTTTGATTCGGTACTTTATGTAGAACCAGTTTCACTCAATCTTCTCTTCAACAGCTCGGGAAATCTTTTTTTTCCTGTGGAGTAACAATATGTATCATTTCAGACTAACTTGCTTTCCGTTTACCTACTCTGTTGATGTCATTACACTCTGACCTTTTTCCATGTGATATTTGAGTCTTAGTTTCTCTAAAGGCTGGAAGATTTTTTTCATGTTAACCAATCATCTTATTATCCAACTATTAATCAGGAAGTCTCCATTCAATATATTAAGCTTTCCTTATTCTAGCATTTCAAATATGTTTTTGAAATATTAAAGATATATCCTTAAGTCTACTACAAATCATTCTAGGTATATCTTGTGTGGTCACAAACAGAATTGCAGTGCTATACTATGTTGTCAAATGTTTTGCTCATTTGATTTTAAACCTTTATGAACTTGAGTGACATCTTATTCTTAATCCATGCAGTTTAGAATGTTGCCACCTGCAATAACTCTTCTGGGACGTCTTTCCATGAAGATAGGAGCATGTTTGTGGGAATGATTAATCATTTGGGAGGTCAAACACTGATGTTGAGCAACAAGGTCCAACTTCTATGCTTTAATCCAAAAGATGAGGCCACCTCCAAACCGTTTCCAGAAAGTTGGGATTATGAAGTTGTCCAAAATGTGTTTATATCTTGCAGCTTTATTAGAAAACCACACAATTGACTCTCCACCAAACTTTGCACTAGATGAATTGGAGTCAATACATTGGATTGCCAGATAAAGAGTTGTGGTTCTTCCTTCAGAACATGTCTCTGTTGATCTAGAGTGCCATCATGCTTTGCATCCAGTTGTTTGCAATTGAAACATGTTTTATGAAGTTATCTACTGATCTTAAGCTACTCTGAAGGCCAAATTAAGTTGTAGTTCTGTAGATTTTCACTAATTGCTATTACTACATAAATGGTGAGAAAAAACAAAAAAAGATTTGAGACATGCTTCTGAAAACCCCCATCAGAATAAAACCACCCCTCATGCATTAACTTTTAACACAGATTCTTTTGTACACGTTAGATTTCCTTGAAATTTTGTTGTAGATTTATTTATTTTCTTTACTATTTAAGATAAAGAACCTGGCCAAAAAAGGTAATCACCAATAAAAAGGTTGCACACGTTAGTGTTTTGTTGGTCTACCTTTAGCTTTGATGTTTGCTCTTGCATTGTTTCAAAAAGCTTCTGCAGTGTCACAAGATTTATTTCCATTCAGTGCTGCATTCATTTTTCACCAATATCTTGTGCTGATGATGGAGAGTCCAACCATTGCGGAAAAAAAGACCTTCTCCAAAACATGCCAATGCTTCCCAATGGGGTAAAGGTCCAAACTTTGTGAGAATAATATCCAATGCTCCTGGAACAACTCTTTCACAATTTCAGCTTGACGAGTCTTGGCCTCGTCATCTTGTAATATCCTCGTGTCATGAGGGAAGAGACAAAACATTGGTGGAATAATCTGGTCATTCAGTATATTCAAGTAATCTGCTGACCTCATAATTTTACTCAACTTTGACCTGACCCCCTCCAGCAACTCCAGCTCATAGGTTGTACAGTATACACTGGACACAATGACTGCACTACTTCACCTGCCTCTCTTCTGATGTACCAATCACACCACAAGAGGGTAAATCTGAACTCATCAGATTATGACCATTCATCACTCCAGAGTCTAATCTTGCCCTATTGCAAATTGAAGCCTTTCTCTTCAATTTTTCTGAATGATTATTGATTTTTGTATGATTGTACAGCTGTTCTGTCCCAATCCCTTGAGGGTTTTCATGGGAAAATATGCTTACTTGCACTATGAACCATTGCCCTGTTTTTTTCTTATTTGGATTGAGTTCAGTGATGTTTAAGGGAGAACCCCAATCATTCACGACATTTCTTCTTAAAGACGATGCTTCCTCTCTCTCTTTCCAATAAGTTCTTGACCCAGTTTTAGTAGTTTCTGTAATCTCTAGCTGTTTTCTCCACTTGATTCAAATGATTTGACCCTTCTTAAATCAGCATATTGTCCACAGCCAGAGGATACAAACAAGCTACTCAGTAAATCAGCACTCTTAAATGATATGTTATCAGCAGAAAGATGCAGTGATTATCCTTAGTTAAATCCAGTTGACAAACTTTTTTTTGGTCAGGCGGTGATTGTATTAGGGTTAGGGTTATACTATATATACCTCTTTCTGAAAGATTACAGAAGTGCAAGCAACTCAAATATTAATATCCTAAATGTTTTTTTTAATGTGATTACATTTATTTTGAAAGTATATTTATTCCATATTAACATGATTTGACAGTCACTTTTCAGATATGATTGACACTTATTTTATTTGACTTAACTAAAAAGCCTGCGCCCTTTTTGTTTTAGTCATTTTTATTATCTACTCAATCTTCCCTCAAATTGTCCTAAATGAACTACGAATGTTAATTGCTTATGTTGTCATATTTTTTTGTGTGTGTGCATGTCCATTTGTGACTCTTCTTTTTAAATATTTTGTAATTTTATTTCTTGGTCATTTTTGTTTACTCATCCCAATTTCCAAAGGCTGGCAATAAAACTAGTTTCTTACACAACTTGTTTCATGTTTCAATCGGTATCTTCTTGGTATCTTCTGTTTGATGATACTATTCTGGTGAGATTCACTCAGCTGGGTGAAAATTAGGAATAAAGATGTTTTCAGATTTAAATTTCTTTATTTTCAGATCAATCCATTCAGGATCAAATCAGTCTACTTTAATGCTCAAAAATAAACCTGGCAACATTAAATTTCACTTTAAACCCCAGAGTTTTTGTAAACATCAACAAGTTTCTGTCATAGTTCTGGCTACATATTGAACCACTCAGGTTCTTGTACTTTATTTAAATTGGACACCCAATCACATCCAAATGTAGCATGCTACTCAAACAATGAACCACAGATGAAATAAAATTGGTTAATATATAAGGCAGCAACCAAGTGCTTACATAGTATGTTGGGGACCTCAAACATGCATTTATTCGGGGATGAAAACAGCAGGATAAACTTTGGAAATAATCCTGATCCCAACTTCTTTGAAAAATAATCCACTATGCTTAAAAATTTGATCTAAAATAACAAGGATGCAATAAATGCCAATATATCTAGAAATGAATTAATAAAAAAAATTAAGGAGCTACAACTAAATATGACAAACACAGAGGAATTGATGGTTTTGCTAAGTTGAGACTAAAATAAGAAATAAGGGGGGAAAAAGCTAATCAAAGTGGAAGTGTTGTGGAGGAGATTGTAATATTTTTACTGACCAAAGTGACCAAAAGAAAATTTATATTGTACTCCTCGCAAAATAACTCGAATATAGCAGTTTTAAGGCTGTTATTGCTAACGCTAAAATTCCATACACACTCGTGTACAGTAGGTGGCGGTAAGCACCTGGAAGTTGCTTGCGATCCGCCATTATAGAAAAGGAGAAGAACATTCTATACCCGCCGTATTCATGTCTATGGGTGGCGCCACCTCATCGCTTGCCATCCAAAAGCGAAGAAAAAGAAGGAGGATAAAGTAGAAGAAGAAGAAAGAGGAGGAGGAGGAGGAGGAGGGAGAAGTTACAATTCACTTGTAGAAAAACTGTTTTACTGGTAAGATGTGTGCATTGCTGAAGCTTAATTAACATGACGTAATCGTAGACATAGGTTTGTATGGGTAGCGATTTAAATAGTTTCAGGTCAGATGTAAAATTTGGTTCGCGAGGTGTTAGAAGCTGTACGCTCCTAACATCTTTAACGGTTTGCTGTAAACAGGCACAAATAAGTAAAGACCACGGGAAAAAAAGATTTTTCTCAATCGAACGTTTCCGTAGAGATGAACGGTTAGATGGTCAAACGGTTATTTACAATCTGAATTTGCTTTTATAGTACAATCTGAACATTGAAGGCAATGCTTTCTTTGTTTCGTCGACAACATCCCTCGTTTGTGATACGACAGCAATCGACTCGCTTTGATTGGTTGGAGAGATTTGGGGGATTAGCTTAAAAAAAAAAAAAAGATAATGCTTAAAATTTTAGCCCAAATTACATTTTTTTGGAAGTTAATATAATATACACATCACTCATTGTGTTCCAGTTGGGAAATTGAGGGGTCACATCATGAAGTTAAGGCAAGTAGGACTATCTATATGCACCCAAAGGTAAACAGTTTAAAAAGGTAACAGAAATGTGTCAAATCAGGATGAATGCAAGTAAATACCGTACTTTTACAATTTCAATTTGTTAAATGATGAGAATTCTAAAGAACAACTCAGTTTAACAGTTATACACAACTTTGTGTTGAACCCAGTAAGATAGACAGGGAGGGAAATGGGAAGCTGTGTGGAACATTGTTTATCTCACTTCTGTTCTGTACTTGTGATCCTGGAGTTGTTGCAGTGCGGATGGAGAGAAAAGAAATGGAGATCAGCAAAGAAGAGCTCCAATGCTGGATCAGAGATGAGGTTCACAAAGCCAGGGTGTGCACTGCTGGCACTCTCATGAAATACCAGCTGCTGCAGTCTCTACTAGAAAGACGACAAGCACAGGCAACCAGATTTTTAAAGCTCTGTCAGTAAGTGTTGTCAGTCTATGCCTTCCTCATATTGCTGCCATATTCTTGCACTCATAAAACACAGGTTCTCACAGTGACGTCGACAACATTTTTCATTGTGAATAAGTCATAAAATGTTTTTGGTTGTTGGCTTATATCTTGGGAAACAAATTAAAATGTCTTTTTTAGGGACACAAACTTGGTGACAAGGCTGATTCTGAAGTTTTATTCATGCCAAAGCCGTAGGGAGCAGTGTAGCGCAATGCTAAGACCTGGCAGCCAATCAGATCGCTTCAAGATAACCGCAACCTCCTATTAGGAATGAAACATGCCCCCACAAGGTTAAGTAACTGAACCCATCAGGACACATGCTTTGTCCTGGACACTTACACTTCTCCAGCCTCAAAAAGCTAGCTTATTTTCTCATCAGGGATATTTTCTTCCGCCAAGTTAGAAATTTGTAGCTCCTCTCCGAAAGCACCGTTATAATCTTCGAGAGGAGGGGATGGAGAAACCGTCACATTAGGTGTGGTTTCCTGGTGTTGTGATCAACAAATATGATCAACTTTTAAGTGTGTTGAGACATTTTATGTATACTCTACATTTTAATATTCAATAGAAAACATAATCTGGACCAACTAGACTCTTCACTTCCTAAAAACTATATTCAGGGTGTAATTTCCTGCACTTATTTATTTTGTTTATTTTATTTTCTGTTATATTTTAGGTCTGTTGTGATATTTGAGAACACAGTGAAAGAACTGTACTCTCAGTTGGGATGGGAGTACACCGACTTGGATTCCGACAGTGAGAACAGTGATGAAACCACAACCTGCAGTAAGAGAGAAATCAATCACCTCACAAATTGAAACAGTTGAGATTGAAACTGGGATTTAAATCCCACTGATTTTCTTCTTGTTTTTTTTTTTTTTTTTTTTTTTTTGCTTTTTAGGGCGTACTTTACCATTTGTGTTTGTTTCTTCGGGGGATCGTATTCGCAGACCTCCAGCTTCCAGGGACTCAACTTCACAGTCGCCAACGTCAGAACTTGAAGAATATCAGGAGGAAATTGTTATTCAGAAAAGTCCCGATGTTGCTTTAGACAAAGAAGCTGTGGTGGTTCTGAGTAAACTTAGAAATTCTGAGATTTCTGCCGCTATACCCCCTCTTTCGTCTTCCTTAGGGGGCAATAACGAGGAAAATTTAAGCTCTGCAGAGTTAGATGTGCAGTGGGAACCAGACAAAAGGACGAGTGAATTAGCCTGTTCACTCTCAGATTTTAGTACTGGATCCAAGAAGAAGAGAAAAATAAATGAAAATGGACAAAAAGATGAAAAGCTCAATCTGGCTTCCAAAAGAAGCAGAATGTCTTTGCCAAAGACCAGGAGGAGCAAGAGATCAACTACTACCATCAAAAAGCCCAATTACAAGGAGTGTGATGACTCGGAATTGTTGAGCTTACCATCAACTTCAGATAGTGACGATGAAAGCAGCAAAGAACATGCTGCAGCATTTCGGTCTTTCTCTACAAAACTAACGATGTGGCTCTCCAGCAAGACAAAAAAGACACCCCAAACCAGTGCAACAGTAATGACAGAAACGCATGGCAAAACCACAGAGACCAGGGCTCAGCCCAGCACAACAAGCACTACGTCTGAATCCTCCAAAATGCCGTCAACACAGCCGTCCAAAACATCGTCAACAACACAGCTGTCCAAAACACCGCCCTCAACAACAGAGCCGTCCAAAACGCCGGTGTCAGCAACAGAGATGTCCAAAACGTCTCCGTCCAGAGTACAGTTGTCCAAAACAGTCAGTGCTGAGACTGTGGTCAAAACACCCACACCACCTGCAGAGACAAAAAGTAAGCCAGGAGCTGATCACTCATTATTTTGCTATATTCTATATTTATTACTGATATAAAATAGTTTATTTTGCACACTCTGCATTATTGCATAACACTAAGGAAGAAAATTGTACATGATATGTTTATCATTTGTTTTCTAAATGTAGAAAACAAATTCTAGATCCCGTGAAGTCCTTAACCTTCACGGGATCTTGTAGGTTGCTTTCAACATTGTTAGTGTAGAAGACGTAACCATTTATATACATTCGCATAATCTTCTCATTTGATAGATTTACTACTAACATTTTGTGCTTTTTGCATTGACTACAGACTCCTCTGCCAGCCAGAAGTCCCCTAAAAAATCTGTTGCTCCTCCAAGCGACCCCAAAAGAAAAATCGAAGTGAACATGAACGTCCTGGCGAGAAAGCAACATTTGTGCTGGCAGCGAGGAAAAGTTGCAGAAATAATAACAAAAGGTAAGACTTTCTGGTTTTTATGTATGCCCAGCCTCTGTTAAAAACACTTGTTTACAACGGATCTGTTGGAACTGAGTTCTCTTAGCTCCAACAGTAAAGTATAATTTTCTCTGTTGTGGGAAACTAAATATTTAAATTTAAGATTCCATAAGTGTGAGTCGGACTTCTTCTTCTGACCTATTTTCTACAGAAGAAGAAATTGACTCTTATTTCCCAAACAGGTTTGTCCAAAGCAGCTTTATTTTGAGTCTCTTAAGGGATATTTGTGATTTTAACTTCCCTTGGTTTGTGCACCCAAACAAAAAAAAGTCTGAAAACCTTAGCTTTATTGAATTATTGATTCAACTCTGATTATAAAGCCTAACTTTGGCATGACATTGCTGTGTTTCTTCTCGTTTCAGAAGGTGGAAAGGTGAAATACAAGGTCACTTTTGAGGAAAAGGGTAAAATCCTTGTGTCCGGTCACCACCTTGCCATTGACAACATGCCAAAGTTGGAAGAGCTCTCTATAGGCTGTCGTGTGGTGGTCAAGATTTCCAATGAGAAAGTGGTGTACAAGCCCGGCATAATGGCCGAGCTCCCTTGCCGAAGAAATCGCATGAGGTTTGAATCTTTCACTGAACTTTATATAAAACTAATTTCTTCTACTTTAAAATGAACATAATTTACTTCACCCATCTGATGAAAATGTGTGGTCTTTTCTAGGTTCCTGGTGTATATTGACGACCACACCCCCACGTATGTTAGCTTGCTTTCAATTTGTCCGGTGTACAGAGCATGTAAGTTTGTGTGGTCAAATTAAACAACTTAATAACTTGTTGGCAAAAGATACTAAATTAAATTTTAGAAGGAGTAGGTGCAGAAAAAAAGTCAGCATTGTAATTCCCACTCCTGAGTATTTTGAATCAATTCAAAATGCTAACAAATGCTAACATGTTTGCGGCTCCTATTTGTGAGCATCCTTCACATCGTCTTGCCCACCGTGTGTTACTTTGAATTATTCTTTGATATTTTTCTTATTTAAGAAAAAGACAAGCGACTAAGCTAATACTGATAATTTAAGTTGAAGAATTTTATGCACAAGCCTATTTTTGTTTAAAATTACGGAACCTCATAGAATTGTTTTAAATAAATGTTCTATTTGTTTTACCCTGTCTTTTCCTCTTGTTAGTAAAATAAATCAGACCGTTTGAATAGAAAAATTGGTTTCTGAATTAGAAATAGTTTCTGAATCAAATTACCAATTGACTCACTAGACGGTGAAAGATTCACATTTCTACTTAGACTTGATTTAAAATTTTGATCTAATTATACGTCAACAATTACATTTTAGAAAGAGTGTAAAAGCTCCATATATCAATGAAAGAAATCTACTGCTGTCATCCCAACTAAGAAAAATATCCATATTATATATGAGTCCAGAAACAACTTAATATGTGGCTGCATTTTATTTTCTGCAATCAACATTTTATAATATTTGCTCTAGAAACTAGATGAAAGTACTTGATAAAGTTTTGCTTTTATAGTACAATATGAAATATTGTTATACCATTTCCAAATCTTAACTAAATATTGAAATCATGTCTCAAATTATTCACTTTTTTGTACACAGTATCTGTTGTCTTACTATCACAAAAACAGTGAATGTTTTTTCCCCCTTTCTGACAGTGGATGACCCTTTAGATGACATTCCTGATAAAATTCACAGGGACTTCATGAAAGACTATCTGAGAACCTGGCCTTACCCACCGCAGACCCAGTTCAAAGTTGGACAGATTATAAAGGCTGATTATGAAGGTGTCATGCAGAAGTGTGAGGTCACTGCTGTTGACTGCAGCTTGGTTGAGGTCATTTTTGAGGTTAGTTTGATGTTTATTAAGCACTTTTGATCCTTTTTTTCCCGTTTGAGTACAAGCTGTTTCTGTTCATTTTCATCTTCAGAGTGATAAACACAAGGAGTGGATCTACCGAGGCTCGCTACGCCTGGAACTTATGATCAGTATGAGGTACAGCATGTGGAAGAAGGAGGCTGCAGAATCAGCAAAGAAACCTCAATAGTCAATGGTAAAATTATTCATTTTAGATCATTCAAACTTAAGAATTGATCGCAATAATATGTTATGATAATCCAAATTCTATTACTCACTTTGTTTTGCTCTGTAGGATCATGAAAATCAGCATATTAGGTTGAGAAGAACCATGTCTGGGAAGGTGAACAGCATGCTTCCTGCTGGCTCCTGGTGGAAATACTGCAGTGGTTTTCCAAATTCCTCTGGCATTATGTGACTCTGGCTGTTGCACTTAAAGCTTTTCTTGAGTCATCTGAGAGTTTGGACCATTGAGGAAGCTTAATTGATATTGCATACATTTTTGAAACCACATTCTTGAAGTGACAGCTGCATTTATAGATTGGAAGAGTATCAATATCCTGAAGATTCTACCTCATTAAAACAGCCAACGACTCGTCATTTTTTCAAAAGACAGTTATTTCTACTCAGTTGCAAATGCGTTTTTAACATACTTATGTGGTGTGTATTGTTAAATAAACATTGTCTTGCTTTTTGTCTAGTATATAGACTTTCTTCAAGGTCCGTAAAAAGTGTTGGATGTTTTAGCTGTTGTTGTTATTGCTTTAACAACTCAATCCAAATCTGCAATTTTTGACAAGAAATAATTTCTTTATTGTCAAAGTGAACATTTCTACAAAGTGATCAAGATTAAATGAAAAATATTTTACATAGAATGAGTGATTTTCGTAAATATTCATCCCTTTTCAAAGTGACTGACCAAAATCAATAGAGGTCCAGCCAGTTGATGCTAAGAGTCTCACACTAAGTGGAATGGAGATCAGTCTAGTGCAGAGAATGAGTCCCAACTGACTTGTATAAAAACACCTAATGTGTGGAAGGTCCATTCAATGGTCAAAGAGTATTCCTGGCTATCAATGCAACATAAAGACTAAGGAACACTCCAAATGGTTATTGATGAGTGTAAGACAGTTAAGGGATGAATACAAAACGATCTCTAAAGCACTGAATATACCCTGTAGTTCTGTTAAATTCATCATTAACCACTGTAAGGAACATAACTGACTGCAAGAAGGATACCTACGATTATACTTGAAAGAGTTGCAATCCTCTGCGTACAACATCTATTGTTTGAGTTCTTCACCATTTATAGCTTTATGGGAGAGTAGTGGAGAAAGCTGCTGTTGAAGAAAACCCATAACGAGACTCGACTAGAATTTGCCAAGTTATTTGAGGGAGACTCCATAGACAAGTGGAAGACAGTTCTTTGATCCGATTAGACAAAAGGGGAACCACCTCGCCATAATTACAGTTACATTTTGAGAATAAACATACAAACAGTGAGGTAAGGGGGTGGCAGCATCATGGGTTGTGGCTGTTTTGAAGCAAGAGGGACTGGTGCGCTTCGTAAAATGATCCTTCATGAAGAAAGAAAGAAATATCTCAAGATATAAGCCAGAAAACTGAAGATTGGGTGCAAAGTTACCCCAGTTCTGTGAGGAGGAATGGGGCAGAATTTTGGCAAAACTATTGTTAGAAGCTTGTGAAAGAAAAAAACACAATGCAACCAAACATTGTGGAACTGTATGCAAACTTTTGATTTTGAATACATTAATAAATAAATTTCTGACATATTAGTGCTCATTATTGTGGCATTTTGCAAATAAGAATAATTTTTCTTCACTCTATCCGACCTAAATCTAGATATGTTTTTCCTTCAAACCTTATTAGTAGCTTATATTTGAAATTCGTGTTTAACAGTACTGCGTCTGGGCGCAGGGAGGCGTAACAGCCTTACCAGTTTGAACCAGAACTTGCTTTGCTGGACTGAACGTTGGCTACGCGATAGCAAAGTAGCGCTTAACATCGGGCCAGCAACAAGATAGTGGAGAAACCCAAACGCCACCACGGATTTTTTATGGGACAAACGCACGGGCCTCGCCGCGAAAACGGTTAATAACTATTTTTAATCTTCTTCTAACCTGTTTCACGCCAGTTAAACCGCCGCTAGCACATCCGCTAGCATTAGTTGCTGTGGAGCTAAGATGGCGGTGAAATTATTTACATTAGCTAGTGGCTAGCGTAGAACCTCGGCTGCTGCTTCGCTCTATAGCCAGATTATGTTTTATATTATGGTTCTTTGTTGATAGTATTAGCATCAAATTGATTTTTTATAATAAAAAATTTGAAGCGAAATGTAGTGGTTAGAGTGTGGTACGGCAAACACAGAGGCTGTAAGCTCTTGTTATTTTATGAGCCAGGGATTCGAAAATGAATCCCTATTTTATTAAAAGATGTCCACATAAATATGTGTTAAACTACCCAGTCGATACATTGGGGATATGTTTCCTCTTTACACTTGTTCCTCTTTACACTTGTATGAAGCTATGAAGTTTTCAAAAATTGTTTTTATTTAAAACATGCAGGGGGGTCATATGTACATGCATTTTTGCATGTGTCCACATATTTGCGAGTCCAGCTTCAACATGCCTCTCCAGCTTGCTGCTATTTTTGCTCCAAGGCTCTGCTTCAACTTAGTAAAAGGTTGCGGTGCAGACGGGTTTGCTGTGAAATGTGATTTTTGCACAAGACAAAAATAATATTTAGGGTATTCTACACACTAAATTTTCAAAATGCACTTATTGTTTAGAGTAGAGTTACTCTAAACAATAAACAAAGTGTGTAATGATAGTTTTCCATCCGGTTTCTTTAATTTTATAATCTGCAACCTGTCAGGGCCGCAGATTATAAAGTTCTCCAATGGGGTCCTAAAGCCAAATTGGGGTGGCAAACCAAAACCTTATCAATAATAGTATGATCACAGAATATTTATCCAGTGATCAGTTAGTGGTGCACAATATTAGGAAAACATGACATTTTGATCATTATTAAATATCGGTGGTGACAGTGCTGCAGCAGAAACACATTTGCAGCTCTTATAATGTTCTCTCCACTCTTTATAAGCCTTGTGTTCAAATTTGGGAATACAACACGTTGAAAGCAGCCAAATGTCATTGGCAAGCAGATATTTTCTTCGTGGCATCTGAAATATTGTACCAAATATTGGATGCAAGCAGTCATTTGCAACTGTGATATTGCAATGACATTGTTACCATACATGAGCGATGAGAGGCCAGGACTGAGTGGCCTACTTTCTATTTAGAAATGTAACATGTACATGTATTGTAAATAAATGAATAGTGATACACAATTACAAATTCTGTTTTGCATATTTGTGAAAACATTATAGTTTTGGCTGGATTGGATTTGTTAATCGGGACTGTGGGTCAGTTGATTCCCACCCATAGCCGTCTTGTAACCAATGTATTAAATGGGATGTTAGTTTATTCTTCTTGTTTTTACAGTAATTTAATTAGTTATAGATGTAATTATACATTTGTTTTCTGAAGATTTTTTGTTTGAGAATAGAAATAGCCTATGTTGTCCCTAAATGGGAAAATTCAAGTTTTAATTATGACCCTGTTTCCAGATATCTACCTACTTCGAACCAGGTGACTCTTATGCAATTTGACAAATTATGAACCTGAAATTAAAACTAATGAACCCCGCGTACACGTTTACTCTAAATCAACAGCTTTCAAAGCTGACACAAGTTCTTTTTAATTAAATGTGAATATGAATACACGAAAACTGTAAATGTAGGAAGTAACAAAGGGGCAAAATGTCCAGCACCCCTCAATGATCTAATATTAGATCTTAGATGCTGATATTAAATAACGTATTTCAGTGCAATCTTGGCTTGATATTGTTATCAGTGAATTTTTTTTAACCTTAAAATACTTTTTTCTTTCGATCAACTCCCTAGATGCCTCACAATAGACGATACACATCTTCAGATAGAGATAGTCGAACCAGCTATCCAGACAGATACAGAGACAGAGGACGAAGATATCGACAAAGAAGGACACCTACTAACTCCACCAGTAGTGACAGAGATCGTGACAGAAGGGGACGAGGGTACCGACAAGAAGGAAGCTATCTACGCTCAAGGAGGTATGAGCTGCACAGTGGAAACTGTGTTCACCATTTTCTGCTGTGAAAGAGGAATTAGACAATGGCCAGAATTGCTCGGCTTCAACTTTGACCGGCCCTGAATGTGATCGGGCGGTCGGAAATTAGAAACGCAATCTTAATTTTGATCAGCAGCGTGTCAGGGTGATAACAAGACTCCTTGTGAGAACAGAACTAAACTACTTTCAGTTTCAGTGGGTGATTAAAAATGTTTGAGGAACTGCAAAATGTGTAAGAGCTGCTGGAAGGGAAGCCATGCTAATGCTGGCATGTCAAATGTTCCTTCACTCCTACCTACTTTTAAACTAGGAAGATGCATGCTTTACAACAAAGTTATTTTGTTTTGTCCTTTGAAGAGTCTGGATTTTTAGGAATATTTCAAAACTAAATAATTAATTATGACCGGCTTTTGTTAAAGTAAAAAAAAACAAAAAAACTTACATGGATCTTTTAACCATGTTACATGTGTGAAAACTTTATTTGATTATAAAGAAAATCAAATAATCTCATGTTGGTTCCTGGAGAGATTTTGAAATCGAACAGAATTGTAATCTGGAAGGTGTTACTTAATTGGTAATTGCAAATAAGCTGCGACATCTCTGATTGGTGAATCTTGTCTTTAATAGCATGAGCCTCTGTTTCTTTTTCTTCTGTTTTTAGAACACAGCATTTTGTCTGTGTGTCTCTGTGCAGCCGCAGCTATGACAATCGCTCAACAGAACACCGGCCGTTCGACAGAAGATACTATGAGGGATACAGACGATTGGACCAGAGCCGTGAGCGGGACAGGGACAGGGAGCCGCACGGAGCAGCCGAAAACTATTATCCTCGAGATTTCTCCCCGAACATGTACGACTACCGACACGGCCGTGAGAGAGAGCGTGAGCGGGACGACTCGTACCGGCGGAAGGGCAGCAGGCGTAAGCACAAACGAAGGCGGCGTAGAACCAGGTCCTATAGCCCCTCGTCCTCGGTGAGTACGACTCGCTTTAACTCGTCAACCTTTCCTTCTAGCTCTCGTTTCTTTCTGCTCTGTCTCTGTCTGTCTTTCTCTAACCATTTTCTCTTGACAGCACATGGACTTGGTAAGTATTACATTCTTTATGATTTGTTTTGAGCTGTCAGTATTTGTTTTATTTACTTGGTTTTTGCTAATACAGGTTACTCTGTTTATTTCTTTTCTCCTTTTTCTTTTCTTTTTTTTTGGAAGAGCATTTTCATTTTTGGTTAAATTTTTGTGAGGAATAGTTCAATTTCTCTTTCACATCCATACACACTTTGAACTCAGATTTTATTCTCTGACTACTCCATCCTTATTATTTTATTGATGCTAAATATTTAGAATGTCTATAAAATGTTAAAACTAGGTTTTCTTATTCTTGTTGCTTTTGGGAATATTAAGATAACATTTTTTGGTAATTATTAGAATTTAATTAAACAAATCCTGTAAAAAAAATGAAAATGTTCTGCCAAGGACAATGTGAAATTTTGATTTTAATAGTTGAATTTATTGCTATTGCTGGTTTTTTTCTTTTGTGGATAAATCAGACCTGATGATAAGAATGTAGTTTGAGTTGGGGGATAGAATCTGCTCTAGTGAAATGTTGGGACTGTTTTAAAAATGTTTCCCACATTTCCATGCTGTTTAATCTGAAATGTGCCCCAGATGTTATGCATTGGGTTTTTATCGCTGTTTTATCTGGTGTTTTGAGTTGATGAATAGATTTTCAGGTTGCTTCCTTGTTTGTAAGCAACTCTGGTTTAAACTTAGAGGGGGGAAGAGGAGCAGAGGACAACATGTGATCTTTGACTTGTTCCCTTGCACTATATCCCTATCGTTTTTATATTACTCCTACACGTGGTGTCAAACGTGAATCGCCCCATGACCACGAAACCCACCTACAACCACATCAACTACCACGACCACCACCACCCTTTTCCTCCCTCCTCATCCACCTGTGCCGCCTGATGCCACGGCTGCCTCTGAAATGCCCCTGCGCCCGTGCTCTGACCTGCTGATGGCGGTTCGGGTGTGAAAACAGCGGAGCGCCAGTCGGACACGAGCACTGAGTGTGAGGGACGACGAGGAAGGGCACCTGATCTGTCGGAGTGGGGACGTCCTGCAAGAGAGATGTACTCACTGCCACTACTCTATCGTAACCCTTCTGCATATGAGTATTATCATAGAGCATTTACATGACATGGAAGTGCCTGATGATGATGCCTTGCTAGAATGCTCTCCGCTCTAGCTGAAGTAGCAGGGTGGACTGCAAATTGTTGATGAATTTTTAGGGGGATTTATAGAAGGATTTTAAACTGTGGAGCATCTTTTTGTGTTTCACAGGTTATTTGATTTCCCTAAACATTGAATCCAATTTGTAGCTGTTTTGTTTCTGTTTTGATTTAGCTTATAATAAGTTACGGAGTCTAGATCTGTAACATAAGTCAGCTTTTCTTCCTCACTGCAACGTTTTTGTTTGTTTTTGTTATAGTGAAGAACTTAAATGGACATCTGTATTTAGAAATAACACATTCAAATAGTTTTGTAGAAGTAGTTTTGTTCAGAAATACTTTCAGAAGTGTATTTTGATCTTATTTTAAGTGTTAGCCTTTTTTTAACAGAAGACAGCATAATCTAAAAAACGATGTCCTATAACCTTCAGTAGCTGCAAATTGGTGACTAAAGTTCCTGTTACATAAAACAGATGTTGGGTATTTTAAACAGGCAGCTCTTGTAGGAAGGGGATGGGCGCTAGCACAGATTCGCCTGTCTGCTCTTTAACATGACGTTTCCCTCCCTTTGTCCACATGTCTAATACTGTCGCTCTCTCTTTTTCCACTTCCCCGTGTCTTTTCCTTTTCTACCTTCATTGTGTTGCAGACGAGGTTGTCAGCACTTTGGGGGAAGGCACCTTTGGGAGGGTGATGCGCTGCATTGACCATCGCAGGTGGGTTTTTTCTGTAATTAGGAAGTAAAACAGCTTTTAGTCACTATGTTATTTATTCAGTTTTAGTTTTGTAAGGCAATTTAGGAAAGACCATAAATGTAAAAATGTTTCACAGCGATGACTCTTTAAAAGTCTAGAAAGTGCACATCTTTTTCCTTCTACTTTACAATAATGCACTAAAGTACCAACAAATGATCTGGAGATTTTGATAAGAATCGCACAGAGAACATTTGGGAGCCAGTTAAATAATGCTCATTGTGATTATTATTAATGTCTTTTTTTCTTACAGGGGAGGAGCCCATATTGCTCTGAAAATCATCAAGAATGTTGAGAAGTACAAGGAAGCAGCTCGACTTGAGATTAACGTTTTAGAGAAGATAAATGAAAAAGATCCTGATAACAGATTGTAAGTGTTCTTCAAGGAAATATGCTTTTTTACACAAATTTATCTAAAGTCTAATGAAACAGCAAGCGCAATGATAAAGCCATTATCATTTGATTACCGGTAGATTTAATAAACTTGACAGAAGTCGGCCATCTTTAATGGAAACTACTTTGACGATGTGTAATTGTCAACCTTTTTAAAACTGCTTCGTTTTGTAGTGTGTAACTAATGCATCTTTCGTTTTGTTCTCTTTGCTTTGCAGCTTGTGTGTACAGATGTATGACTGGTTTGACTACCACGGTCATATGTGTATCTCCTTTGAGCTGCTAGCTCTGAGCACTTTCGACTTCCTAAAGGAAAACAACTACCTACCCTACTCAATTGGTCAAGTCAGACACATGGCCTACCAGCTCTGTCTTGCTGTGAAATGTAAGTCACTTTTTTGTTATGAGAATCTTTGACCAGGGTTGGAAAATATGGAAAAAATATTTTCTTGGACCTGTTTTTTAGATGCCATGTATTTCCCTAAATTATACTTTTCTATTTTGCCATGTTTTAGGATATCAAAACATTTATTTTTCAAATATCTGAGCTTTAGACTCAGATGTGTGTATTTTTAAAACTGGATTTTGTTTGAAGTAAACAAAGCACTAAAACACCAGAAGCCTTCCTCTGTGACGTGTTTCATGATTTAGAGGACACAGCCATAATAAAACTCAACTAAGTTCATTATTTATTAGCTCAAAGATCTGAAAAACGTTTATCCAAAAAGGGAAACGATTTAGTTTTTTAAATGAAAAATGTATAGGAACTTTGTTTAAAAGAGGATTATGAATGTAATCTTCTTAAATTATAATTTTTTTAATCCCATAAAAGTCAGTCAAACAATTATTAATGTTTCTTTCTGTATGTAAGTGGATAAATAAGATATAGTGGTAATAATTGGGGAAACTATTTTCTAAATGCTTTATCTAAATGAACCATAATTATTAACTGATTAAAGGGCAACGGTTTACATTTTGGAGTTTTTAATATATATTTTTTTATGCATGTAAATGTTTATGCTTTACTCTGAGTATGTTTATCAGCGAGTGTTTTTTGACGTTGGTGTTTTAAAAAAGAGGTAAATGATTTAATATAAACTATACAAATAGATTTCTCGCGTAAGAAGAAAGGGAGGGTTTGTTGTATAAAATGCTAACTTTATAATGCTTTTTATGTTTGAGATACTAAATAAGCCGTTCTTTTCCCCCCCCTTTTTCTGTAGTTCTTCATGATAATAAACTGACACACACAGATCTGAAGCCAGAAAACATCCTGTTTGTCAACTCTGACTTCACAATGACGTATAATGTAGAGAAGGTAAGAGAACAAGTGAGTAAAGCTTCTGCTCTATTCAGATGTTTCAGGCCTATATGGGTTTGTTTTGGTTCTGTTAGACATTTTATCCCCACTGCTTCTTCCTAAGGCTACATCTTTATAACATGGACCTTAATCTGTGACTTTATGTGATGCTTGGGATCATATAAATTTAAAGATAAGTAGATGTTGCATCTACTTATTTATTAATCGTCGCGTTTCGCAGAAACGAGAGGAGCGAACCGTCAAAAGCACAGCAGTACGAGTCGTGGACTTTGGCAGTGCCACTTTTGACCACGAGCACCACAGCACCATCGTGTCGACGAGGCATTACCGTGCCCCCGAGGTGATATTAGGTGAGTTGATGCAATAGATGACTGTGTTTATGTATTTATATGAGACACATACTCAAGGGGAATGCTTTTGGAAATGCACAGATGTGCAACTGAGTTGTTTCCATGTTTGAAGTAAAAACAAAGATTTTTCTTAATAATATAAGAATCACTTAACATCCCCTTTACGCCCTCAATCATAGTTTCTGTGTTGAAAGTAAAGTGAGAACCTTAAATAATGAGGCGTCATGGTGATTATATTGATATTTTGTGGTGGGTTTTATAAGGTCTACTTTTTAAAGTTTAGAGGATTTACTTCTTTCACAGATTTTACTGCTTGCAGATAAAATGTTGAGTTATGTATTTACTGTCTACCTGCATAATTACTCATTTTATGACACCTGCCTTTAATTTAAATACCTTCTATTGATTTACTTTAGAACTAGGCTGGAGTCACCCCTGTGATGTCTGGAGCATCGGCTGCATCCTGTTTGAATACTACTTGGGCTTCACCTTGTTTCAGGTAAACGTTTAATCGTTCTGGCAAACTGATTAATTTCAATGTTCATGACTTTATTTCCTTGGGTCGCACTGGAAAAAAACTAAATTGTACCAAGCATTTCTTGTGTAATTTCAAGTGTCACATTTGAAAGAAGACAATTACATGCATAACTTCTGCGAGACCATAACTATTAAAGTATTTTCCTTAAATTTCATAATTTGTTTTTCTTCTGTCCTCCAGACTCATGACAACAGAGAGCATTTGGCGATGATGGAAAGAATCCTGGGTCCAGTGCCCTCAAGGATGATTCGTAAGACCAGGTGAGAAAAATGTTCAGTTTATTTGAGACGTTAAAGGGGCGGTGTTCTGTGAAATCAGCATTTTTGATCATGTCATAATGTTATTCCCTTATTAAAAACATACCTGGCGTGCTGCCTTGATTCTGTCGTGCATATTCGAGAAATCCTATAATCTCCAACTAACCAGCTGTTCACAACGCTGCAGTGTCCAAGCTTCTGAGCTTTTGCCTCACAGAGCAGTACTCAGCTCCTTCAGACTAGCCAGCAGCAATTGGCAAACTCCTGGTGGTGGTTTGCAATTAGTAAACCACCAGGTGTAAAAACGTTGTTAAAGTATTAATAGAGGAGTGATATGATAGCTTTCTGAAAGCGGAGTTTCAGAAAGAGCAAGGGCTTTTAAAGAAACAGAGGCACAATTTCAAGGTGCTAAATTACAATGTCAAATGTTATATTTGCTGTCTACAGCATTTTTGTAGTAACTGAAGTTCACATAGCTACTTGATGGTGCCATTTTATACCACAATGTGTCTGAAAAATGCTGCCCCTTTAATGTTCCTGGTACATGTAGTGTGTTGTCTACATTCCTAAAGCTGCCCACGTTCATTCATCCCTCAGGAAACAGAAGTATTTCTATCGCGGACGACTAGATTGGGACGAGAGCTCGTCGGCGGGAAAATATGTCAGAGAAAACTGCAAACCATTGCGGGTAGGTGGGGTATTTGCAAAAACGGGTGCGCAGCGTTGAATTAACGGGGGACGTTTGGTGTTGTAGCGGCCTACTTTCACTGTTCCCCCGTCTGTTTCTCTGCTTTCTCATCAGCGGTACCTGCTGTCCGAAGCAGAGGAGCACCACCAGTTGTTTGACCTGATTGAAAGCATGCTGGAGTACGAGCCGTCCAAGAGGCTGACTCTGTCAGACTCCCTCAAGCATCCTTTCTTCGAGAACAGTGGCACCGGCGAGGCGGCCGGCAGCAAGAACTGGGAGGGCAACCGCGACATCAGCCGGTGACCTTTGCTCTTCACAGACTGACTGACAGGGGAGATCAGGAGCTGAACTGTTCAGTCACCTTGGACAGGAGGTTCTGTGAGAGATAACAGCATGGACACCTTGACTTCCTGCTCCTCCAGCACGACCTTCCCTTGTCCTTCCCGTCGGCACAAGTGGCATGTTTTATTTTATTTTTTTGCAGCAGAGAGACCAAAATAAGCAGTACAAAACTGGAGAAGAGTTGAATCTTTTCTAGTGATCACAGCCCAAGAAACAAGGTTGAATAAAATTGAAGGTGAGAAATCTCCAAACTGCCCTCTATGCAGCTTCTGTCTTCCTGTCGACTGGGGAACACCTCTCTTCCCGCCGTCCGAAGAAAATGACACCATCGACACTCTCCGTCTCTCAAACACGAATCAGTTCGGAAGCAGAAATCTCTCCCAGTGCTGAAGTCCGAGAAAAGGGTAATCAGGAGATAGATAGCTGTATAATCAATATCTCAGCCACAAACTTTCTGATTCTCTAAAAAGAGCAAATATTATACACAGAATATTCGCTTTCTTTGGAATCTGGAGAATAAACATGCGTCCCATGTTTTTGTTAACATTGTCAACGAGCCATTGCTTTGCATTCTTTAATATTTTATGCCTAAAAGAAAAAAAAAAAAGAGATTAAGCCCTCTACAAAAGCTGACCCAGTTGTGGGTCGTTGGACACTCCTCACATCGGCCTCTCTGTAGCCTGACTTATTTACCCCTTATTTGTTTGTTTTGTTATGCATTGTTTTTCTAAGTGCGAGTGTTTATTTTATTTTTTGTGTGTATGTGTGTGTGTCAGCATATTGATGTGAATGGGGATGGGTGATGCGTTCATGTTCAGCTCTACGGTTAAGTTGAGCGTCATTCTTGGGGTCGTTCTCATATAAAACAAAACTGCCTTTTCCACGGTTCACATGAGAAGTCTCTACATTAGGGTTAAGCACACAGCTCCGGTCGGTGGTATTTATTTTCCAGTTCCTATTATAGGTCTCAGTCCACATTATCCTCCTGAATGTGACATGTTTTTTTTTTGTATGAAATGAAAGCGTATAATGCTGTATATATGTATTATTGTGTAGAATTAAAGTCTTCTTTGCCAAAGGTTACCGATGCTCTGAGCAGTTTGAGCCTCTGGCGGTTTGAATGTTCAGTCTTCAGATGCTGTGTCAGAGTCCATCTGCTTATCGACAGCTTTCTAAACGTGAGGGAGGAAAAAAAGTCAAGTATCCGTAATCATAAAACGGTGCAAGTAATTAGTGATTTTAAATTCAAAATTGATCCAAAGCTAATAAAAAAAAAGTCTGTACCTGTAGATATTTTGGTATTTATTATAAACTTATTTCAGTGGTGTCTTGTTGAGTCCTTCTGGAAATAACTTCTGTTTTATTCCTCTCCTAAAATAAACTCAGCAGCCGTGTCATGAGCCAGGGATTAAGAAATGTGGATGATCTGCAGCAGCAGAAGTCGAGGAAGCGGCGCACCTGGTCCATCTGTTGGTAATCTTCCTGTTGCTCTATTAACCTCTCACATTCTCTTTATCTATAACTCACTTAATATTTAAAGATGGCGCCTTCAGGCTTTGTTCACTTCTTTTTCTTTTTTATTACTTTAAGCTTAGCTTTGCATTAAAAGTACATTGCTTTGTAAAAATATCCGCACCTTTTAGAGCCTTTTTATGTAAAGTTTATGTAAGATACCAAAATTAAGTAGAGCATTGTTGTGAAGTCGAAGGAAAACGATCCGTGGTTTTAATTTACAAATAAAACTGAAATGTGTGGCATGCCTTTTCACACAGTTTCCCAGGAGTCAATAATTCATGGATCCAGTTTTTAGGATTACATCTCTACCAACTTTGGTCATCTGCCCATTATTCCTGAATCTTATTCTAACAGACGTGTATCTTTTGATTGAAATCGTTTCATTGTATAATTTAGTGTCATCGTTTTGTTTTCTGTGTCTTCCTGTTTATTTTGCTCCATCCGTCTTCCGAGTTGTATCCCCACAGTCTGATACTGCCACTACCGTGTTTGATTTTTAGCTATTGGGCATTTAGGTTGGTTGTATTTAGGTGAAAAAAGTATTTCAGTTTCATCTGACTGGATCAACTTCTTCCACTGTTATTCTTGTGCAAAGTGTTTTTTATTTTTATTGATCTCAGCGTGAGACGTTCTGAATAAAAATACATGCTAGACCTTTCAGGTTTTTATTGGAAAGAAATATCACAATTTTGCTCTCCTTTGCGTTCGTCCCGTAAACCCCCAGGAAACTATAGCGCAACAAAACGTGAGCAGGTCCACTTTTCACTTTTGCAGCTTCAGCTTTTAAAGTTTTAATAACGCCAGATTTGTCTCTCCAGCAGAACTGTACGGCTTTTTGCCGAGGATTTGTGGAGGTGAGGACAACGTCGTTTCTTTCCAGACTTGAGTTCAACAGATTTCCTTCAGTCAATGAGCCTGTGAATGAAATGAGTCACTCAGCGTAACGATGTGGGCACTTAATTCCTCAAGTCAATGAAAACGCACGTCTTTGGAGTTAAAAGACAATCCCTCCTCTGTCATCAAAGCGTCACCTCCTGTTCTTGAGTGTCTTAAAAGTTTTATCTGTCTGGCTTGTAATGACACACTTTTGTGTCATTACATTTTTTTTTTCTTTTTTATCTTAAATTTCCTCAACTAAATTGATGAAATAAATTACAGTTCCTAAAGTAATGTTAGCATTTAGATACAAAATTGATTTCCAGGTTGGTGTTTTTTGTTTTCTTGGCAGCTGTAAACACACAGGTCTTTTTCCGGCACAGATTTGTTTGTGACTCTTGTTAATGAGATGAACGTCTTATGCGTCTTCAGATAATCCTATCAATCCTTCAAGAGCAGCAAAGTCATCAGCTGAACCGTCGCGGAGTCCAGACAGAGAGGAGGAACAAGCAGAACGACAGGGACCGGCTCATCCACTGGACATGACGCTTTTACAGATATAACAGACCTGAAGTGAACAGTTCAGGATACATCACTGGTCAGTCGATTTATTTTCGTTGAAGTAATCTGATGTAAATCATATTTAAATAAAACTGTTAAATTAGAATAGATTGTGTGTTAGGGTGTGTTTTATTGATTCATTCCTGAACATTTTCATCTCCCCATAGGTAGATTTTGCTTTGAGGTCTGGTTAGAGACCATCTGGAGCTAAATCTACACGCCGACGACTTTGGAAATGGATTCCCTCATGTCGCTGGGAGCTCCGCTGAAGCAGTTCACCAGCTGTGTGTCTGGCACCAAAAACACCAAGAAGAGAGGAAGAAGCCAGGGGAGCCAGTCCGTCCGCAGGTTCAGCTTCACCCGCAGGAAGAGCGTCAGCCGGAGGAGAAGCCTTCCCTGCAGCAGCCAGAAGGTTCCAGATTCCTGGCTCAGGGTTTACCAGGAGGAACTGAAGAAGGAGAGGTACGGCAAAAAGTTTGGCCTATGTTGAAGGGACAGAAAATGTTTTCTTTATCTCTGAATATTTATCTTTAGAATCTTCTATTTTTAGACGGTGTAAATAAGCCATACATTACTGTCTTGTTACCTGGCTAAGACTCTTTGCCAGGCAGACTGAGCTTAATGAGGATAAGGCTGTACAGTACCTGAATAAGCTGCTTGTCCATGTGCTGCGCCTAATGTGGCTCTGTGCTGTTTGCCAAAGGAAACGTCAGCAGGCCATGCTGGCCAAGAAGAACGCTGAGAGAAATGTACGGAGCACTCACTTCAGGAGCCACCACTGCCTTCCAAGGGTAAATAAAGAATTGCTTTTTTTTGGTTTTTGCTTAATAGATTATAATCCTGATTGTGATTGTTTTCTACCAACAGCACACCCCTGCAGCCAGGAAACCAGCACCAGCAAAGGATGACTCGTTCTTCGGAGCCTTTCAGGGCCTCAGTCTGGACGGGCTGACCGGAGGCGCCGCCGGATCTCCTGCAGTCTCTGCTTCTGCTGCAGGCGGAGAGCAGTGCAAAGTTATGTGACGTGCATCTGCTAAGGACAGTCAGCAGCTCTGGGAAGATTCCTTACCAAGGAATCCTGCTGCAGAAATCTGTTTAAAGTGACTGATTTTGTTTTGTAAAGGAAGGAAGGAAAACGGCTTGTCGTTTGACATGTTTGTGCACTTGAAGTCTTTTGACTGTATTCATGCATTTGCCAACCATACAATAAGTTTATAAATGTAGTATTTTTTTTATATATGCAAACAAAGATTTTTTAGGTTTGTAGCTTAAAATCTGTACCAGATCATAACTGTTTGTATTTCTAATTAAATATAAACTGTAAAGACTACACCAGGAGTGTTTGGCATCTTTATTTAGACAAAAACATTTAGGCTCTACACTTTAAAATACTTTAAACTTTACTTCCCCCCCCCAAAAGTACATTTAGCACTTGAAATGCTGATATCCTAAATTAGTTGACATACTTAAGCCATATTGTTTGATATGAATTGTGCTCCCAAATCAAACATTTTCCAACTTGGTAAAGTAGACTGAAGATCAAGCTTTATTAGGGTTTGAAAACCAAGACATTTTGTTTGAGTTACATTAATGGAAGATGCACCGGCTCTAACTAATCACAAGTATGTACAATAGAAAATGAAGTACAAAACTACATTTGTCGGGATAAGGAACCTGTCATGTGACGCATCAGATTGCGACTGTGTTGACTGCAGACAATAAGGTGGGGATTCACAGAAAATGACTTTATTTTGACAGTTTTCCAGCGTCATTCCCTCTGCTCCATCTTAACTTTTGGGGGTTTGAGGAAGGACCTGTTCTTTTTCTCTTTGCTTTTTCCTTTGGTTTGGAAGGTCCTCCAGCTGTCCACACGTCCATCTCGTGATTCCTGCAGAATTTTAAAATGAAATTATTGAAAATACAAAAAAAATAATAATTACTCATGTTCCCAGTAAGGTTAATAAACACAGCACCTCAAAGTTCTTCTGCCATTCTCTTTCCCGCTTAGCCTTCTCCGCTGCCTCGATTTCTTCTTCTCTTGCCCTTTTTCTGGTTAAACAAGATGTATTAAGAATATAAAAACTCACCAGTGGATCATTTAAATAAATCTTTATGCAGTCCTACACCTGACAACATCCAGGTTCCAAGTACATGGCTCTTTACCTTTCATGCATTTCCTTTGCTTCCCTTTCCTTCCTTTTTATTTCAAGCTCAGCAAACAGCTTCATGGTTTGTTTGTACACAGCTTGTCTGAACTGGAAGAAGCAAACAAAAAAGCAAAACAAATTATATATATATTTATAATTAGTCAGCCAGGCAATATTCCATTAGAGGATGACTGACTTACCATGTCAGGGTCGTCTTCCTCTACATCCTGCGGTTTCCCATCTTTCTTTAGTTGCTTCTTTTTCTGCTTTACCTGTAAACGACAGACAATCTCTTACAGAACAGATGCAAAAAGGAATGTGATGGAATGTGTCTGTAGGTAAGCTGACAGACGCCACTCACCATATGCTCCACATATTCTTTTCCTGCTTGGATCACATCAACTGCTCGCTTCTTCTGCTCAGGATCCAGTAAGAGTTTGTATGATTTGTCCACAACTGGGAAGCAGTAAGATATAGCTGTGTGGGTCAGCTGCTTCACTGATCAAAATTGTTGCTTTTTACAGACACATGCTAATGAGACAGCTGAGTTTTCTTTAACCTGTTTAAAGCAAACAGCAGAATAAAGCAGAATAATGCTACAATCTTTATCAAGTAATATCTTTACAGGAGTATTTGTACCTTCAAAGGCTTTCTGTGCTCTTTCTGGGTCATCCTGATTTTTGTCTGGATGGACCAAAATGGATAACTATGCAATAAAAAGAGGGAGATGGAGGTTAAAACATCCATCCGCAGTCTGATTGTCCATCTGGTGTCAAGTACTTCTAGGGGTCAGTATGACTGGAAAAGTGCTGTACAAGTTCACTCCATTTCAAATTTACAAATAAAAAAAAAACACTAATCTTTTCTTACCGCCCTAAATCTTTTCTTCAGCTCTTCGTCTGTTGCTTCTGGATCAATCTGCAATACCTGAAATAAAATCAATAGCTAATCACATTTACAATGCATTTGGTAAAATAGCAAAAACAAAACAAACAAAAAAAAGCCAAAAGGCGAATAAAGTTGAGGTTGGATTTAAGGTTAGAATAAGACCCAAGAAAATTAGGAATTCAAAATCAGCTCTGCAAACTCTAAATGTACAAATAGTCATTTAAGATCATTTTCAAACTCCAAGAAAGGAACCACATTTACTGAACCTTTCAATAAATTGTTGGCTTCAAAAGTGATCCAACACAGTCATATTGTTTCCAACAAATCAAAACTCTTTAGACTCAAAGATAATGTTTGACATAAATCAAACAATACAAATCACATGCTTTAAAACATTAAAATATCACACAAGAAAATATCTCTGTTACCTCAAAAGGGTTGAGGTTGAAGTACGAGGATCCAGGTCTTAGCAACCTGTCAATCTGCTGCTTAGACGTTAATACAGAGTCCCTCTTCTCAATCTGCTTCACCTGTCGAAGAACATATGCACAACACAAACCATCATGATTTATTTTTTTTTAAAAAATCACCATGTTCATGTTCGCTATGGAGAAAAGTCTTATAACACAGAACTAAAGTGAAACCTTAAATGACGACTCTACTTTGAAAATGTACGAAATAATACAAACGTGTAGCACAATAGTTTTCAGATTAAACAATCCATCAGTAAAGGCTAGCTATAGTCGTTAGCTGATGCTCACACCTACTAGGCCTGATATGACCTGAACTATCGAGTTACCGACAAAGGCTTTTGGAAGAGAATCAAACGAAGCAGCACGCTTCTCAAAAGCACTGAAAATGTTTCAATATTTCATACCTCGGTGTAAAAGTTTTGAAATAATTCCTCCGACACACTCTGAGAGGAAGATTCTCCTCCAGCGGCCGCCATTTTCGCTTAGGTTTACATGTGACGTACCGGGTCACGTGACTCGCAAACCCTTCCAGGGGCGAGGCGTCGAATGTCCGATGACGTCAGATGACACGGGGACGGCGCAGTTCGACGTTCAGGTTTTTCCTGTGATTTACAGTGAATCGCGGGTCGCATCTGAACTTCTGATACTATTCTGCTGAACATATCCCACTCCAAAACAAAGTTGCACATTGGCGTAACAAAATATTTACGTTTCACGCCTGAAAATGGTAAAATTCAAAAGTGGCTGTTGGTTTCGCCAGACGTTTCAGTTGCTCTGTGAGAATACTGATTATAAAGCTCATCATTTTTACAGAGTCAACTCAAACAACTAAAAACTCTGAAACCCAAAGGGGCATTGAATGTTACTTAAGTTGTCAAGGTTTGTTCAAAGAGCTTTGGGAAGGAAGGCTCTCCTGTAGCAGTCAGTCTTGCAGGAAGTCACCTCTGACTGAAGGGGATGCTCAGTTGTAATGTTTTCACAACAAAAGGTGAATTGCACAACTTCTTAAAATATACATGGCTTTATACAAGCCAAAACATCCACACTTGATCTTTCCAATACAATCCAAATGCCTACTTATATTCACATCAAATTATACTAATAAAAGACAAATATTATTGCTAACTGGTCCAAAAAAAGATAAATAAGGAAAAAAAAAATCTAAAGACCAGTATCAGGTCACAGTCATGTCTTAAAAAAGGTTTTTAACTTATAAACATAAAATATTGAAATAAAGAAGACAACGTGTATTTACAATTTGATGCACAATTCGTTTTTATTTCACTTTCTACAAGACAAGTGTAGACAACCCATGTTTGTTTCTATAACGTGCAACTGATTACTTAAAACTATTCTATGCCTTCATGTATTACAATTTTGGTTGATGTTGAGAATAGTTATTGTGAAGGGAGTTATTTCCCCTTTTGTTCTAAAATAAAAATATAATTTTACAAAAATAGTCTAGGTTAAAAAGATAAAAGAAGCAAACCACAATCTAGACAAAAACAGTACAATTAAAAGCATAGATTTTCCTTTTAAGAGTAATTTTTGAAGCTGGATGAAAAGCATAGATTTCTTCATGTTGATGGGTCTGCTTGTCCTCCTTTCTCCCTTAAATATAGAGATGAAAACTCAAAATTATTATTATGACTCATTCTCTAAAACTAAAGCTTATAATTTATTTTCATTCTACATACACATGGATAAAAAGGTCAATCTTGCTCTGAATAAGTGCTTTTAAGTTGTTCACCCTTGACCCTTACCTGTAGGAAATCTGGTTACCCAAAACTCTGGAGCTCTGTTAGATGCATCTTGAGGTGGGTGAAAACCTGCAATGGATCTGGCTTGCACCAGGTGGAAATCACTTCTCAGACCTGGAACTAAGACATGGCCACACAGACAGAAAGATGCTGATGAATCAGCATGGGCATCAGTACCAGATCATGTGCAGAAACAGGAGTTGTCCCCTTTGGATTCTATTTCTCTAAGGCAAACCCTTTATAACAAACATCTAAAATCAGTTTAAATGGCACATGTTTAATTTTTTGGAGAATTAGTCAATAATGAAGCCTTACCAATCACTTCTTTCCAATTCTGTGAACTCATTCACATGGATGTGGGCAGCTCCTTTACTGCCTGGTGACAAGAGGCAACATAAACACACAGTTCTCATATGAAAATGTGCTTTAAGGACACCGCAGCATTAACAACTAGCCTTCTTTTGTTGCATTTCCCCACACATCCCGCACCCCACTTTTACCAGTGAATTAATGCAGCCCCCATACTGCCATCTGGTGGTGGTGAAAGCTAAAGACACCTATTTTTATGTGCAGCCATTGTTCTGCAATCAGTCAATCTCTGAACTATTTCAATCCGTTTCTCCAATGATGCTCACAAAAAACTCATAGTAAAGCTTTCTGCTTCAAACAGACCTGATAATTAAGTCAATCTCCAAGAAGCTGCCTCGGACAAAGAAAGGGATCACAACTGGAGTCACGTTGCATTCAAGCTGTTACTCCTAGTGGCCAAGAAGGGTAAATGCCCAGCTCCTCCTACTTGCAGAATGCCTTTGCAGACAGCTGCAGTGATTTTGGTGCAGTGAGCCAAGATATGCAACACACGAATGCATGATTTCAGTGGCATTTTGTTTACCAAACCAAAGACATCTTGGGATGCTGGTTTTTATTAGAGTTTGAACCAAGGGCAATTTAATCCTAAAATTGTTCTCAAACTTGTTTTAATGTGAAAACATTAGTAGATTCAACAAAATACAAACTGGTGATATGTTCTATTAATATCCTAAACATAGAAAACTTGGACTCAT